AAACGACTGAAAAGCCTTTGTGATACGGTAAACAAATTTTATGGATATACTGAAATTTTATTAATACTAAATCGGATTCACTAGTGGATTATTATCAAACAGAACCCCGAGTTCACGTTCATGTGCATCTAGTTCTTATTTGCGTTTACACGAATCGAAAAACAAACAAACAAACAAAAACCCAGCAGTTTTCGTCAGATTGACTAGACTAAAGGGCCTGTGCTCTCTTGAACAAGACCATTTTAAACAGTTTTCTTAGTGCTGAGTAGTGCTGACGAAACAGAAGTAGGATCATGCACTTCCCCTTAATTTACATGCACATGCATGGGCAAGCTTTTTTACAGTGCAAATATGACAAAAATCGAAAGTAATGAGAATTAAAACTCTCAGACGTGATTCAGAATTCTATTTCCAGTCCACTTATGGCCATTCTCTCCTTCTCGAACATTTCATCAAATCGTCGGTTTTGTTCATCAGTGAAGTAGTTTTTCCAGTCACCAACTTCGCCTTTTCGAAGGAATTTTGTTGCACCCGGGGTTTTCAGTTTTAGGTAGTCGGGTTCATTATCGTAGAATCGTCCTTTGCCATCAGACATGGCAGTAAAGGTTGTTTGGTCAGCGATTCGTTGAATCATCTCTGGAGATAAATCTTTACCAAGAAATTTGGCTATTTGTTGAACAGCACAAGGCAGGTCCTGAATATGAAAGAGGAGGTGATGCATTTTTAATTTATTGTGAATATTATCACGATTCAGGTAAAATACTTCATATCTCGTCAGTACCTTTTTCATGTCTTCGTACTTTAGGAACAGAACATTGTCATCATCACGATGAGCCCACCATCCAAGCACGTGATCAATCCAACTTCCGTATTCAACTGAAAACAAAGTTTACCATTATCACAACACACAAGCTGTTTGCATTGATGCATGACATAGGCGGTCCAACTATTGCTTGAAAGAAAATTTTTAACTTTTTTGTTTTGTTTTCTGATATTACTTTTTCTTTCCTCTTTTTGAAGAAAACTAAATAATCAAGCTTTTATTTTCTCTTTTACTTTCAAATCAGGGAACTCACGACTGTTTACGAAAGATCTGGAAGGCTTTACGAACAGAATGCTAGGGGAGGTGTGGACAAGCTACCTGTGGCATACATCGGTCTACGACGAGTAGAATTCTTAATCGTCTTTTTCTCGTCGTGCAATGATCATTTAACATTCAAACACATAAGATAGTTTTGAAAGAAAAAAGTCCTTTTCTGCTATGATTTTCTTTCGAAATAGGAGTAAAATTATCTCTGTAACGTAGCAAGTGTTTACAGACACTAACGTTGTATCCCAAACCTCGTCCCCAAGCCCACCACAAGATGGCAGTTGTCGGGGAGCTGATCCTGGTGATAGCTGGAGATCACGTGACCAAAACCTCCAAGATTTTGATAGATTTTTGACCACGTGCTCTATTGCCCGTTCCGAAATTCAAAAAGGGACTGTTGACTAGTCACAAACTCGATACCGTTTGAAGCAACCAAAAAACAGACACCAGGACAAGAAAGAACATAATAAAATTAGTAAAGCTGCCGACGGTTTGAGGGAGTGTTCAGATTAATAATTATAGAGTTTCAAGCTGTTAAAACTCGAAAAATTACAAAGAATGTATGGAGGTTTTGAGCAGCGTCCCCAAAAATCATTCTCTCTGATTCAGTTTA